AGTAAAACCCAACAATGGCCTATCCAGCTATACAAGGAAGAAAATTCTCATACATACTAATTTGAATGAACCTTGAAAATGTCATGGTACATAGAAGCCATAAACAAAGTACTACTTACTATGATTCTATTTATATGAGAAATTCAGAATAGGCAAAATTTATACAAATAGAAAGTAGATTAATTACTGCTGATGGGGAATGTGTAGTAAAGTGGGTATAGGGTTTCCTTTTAGGATGACAAAAATGTTCTGGATTTCAATAGTGGTAATGATTGCAAAACTTGGTGAGTATATTCAAAATCACTGCATTTAAAACTTAAGTTCATGATATATGAATTATATTTCAATTAGAACAAACTAAAGCAAAATGAAAACTACCACTAACAGATATCTATATTTCACAAATAACATGGTACCTGGAATACAATGAATAATCATGTGTATTACTTTCTATCAATATCTCCTCAGAAGACTTAAATGCTACATGTGCATTATAGTAATGTCTGCTTCAAGTTTTACATTATGATATGCTATAAAATGATTTGTTTCATAGAATTATCTGCTTTAAAGACATAAATGATAAAATAAGAGCTCATAACATATCAAGATAACTATAGTCTTAATTAGTTTAATTCTCTAGGCAGACACATTTCTGCTCCCTTGATGTCACAGATTTAATATACATGTAATTTTTAGATGTTATTTTATCCAGCAGAAGGAGCTTTCTTCATTTATTGACAGCTTTGGAATATTTCTAACCACATAATGGACTTTAGCAATTAAAGAACTCATGTAACTTTTTCATAAAATACTTTTTTTTCACAAAAATTAAAGTGGGAAAAGCCACATAGGTAAAAAAAAATGTTCGGCATTTCATTTAATAAAAATTTTACTTTAAAATCCAGCTTTTTGCCACTTAAATGTATAACATGGTACTATATATTCCAATTTGTAATTCTACTACATTACACAAGTAGGTACTGGTTAGCCATGAGGCAAATAAAATGAGATATTTTAGTTTCTAAATAAACAGAAAGCTAGCACAGGCTGTTGGTCTTAGTCAAATCAAATACCGGCTGTTATACTGAAGTGAGAACTGTTGTATATATGAGAAACTAACATCAAGACTGTAAAAAGGACCAAACAGAAGTCATTTGTGAGTTCCTGAGAGACAAAAGCTTAGATCATTCATTTGGGGTGAGATCTTGGAGAAAATGTGATTTGGGCTCCTTTATATTGTCCTATATTGTTCTTTTAAGAAGTTTCTGCATTTTATGTACTACTAGGCAGTGAAACAGTGCTGGGGGAGAACTTCTTGGCACTGGTTTGTTAACATCAAGATGCTATCACCGACCAACTTAGTTGAGGAACTGCTAAGGGCAGAAGCAAATAGACCTACTGATCTGGTCTTTGTCTTTTCATCTTTTCATTTTAGCTACCAGCCCAAAGATTTGGGTATCACAGATAAGGAAGAAAAGCTCAAGGAGATTTATGTACAAATAGAGATATAGAAGTAAGTAGGTAGGGCTAACAACAGATAGTTTGGGCAGTCAGTTCGCAGGATTAGGGTTTCATGCTCAAGTGTAGTACCCTTACACTCTCCTGATTGTTTTCGGAAGTTATGGAGAATATCACCCACCCAAGCCCTTCACACAACTAGCCAAAGTGACAAATACACTCATATGAGTGCTGAGATTAATATAAAGAAATTATTTCAGTGAAAGGAGGAAGAACAAATGGAGGCAAAAGTAGAGAAAGAAGAAGAAAAGAAGGAAGAAATAAAAAAAGAAGAGTGGGAAAAGAGGAGAGAGGAGGGGAGAAAGAGAATGAGTAAGAGGCAAGAGGAGAGAAATGGAGGAGGCAGAAGGTGATCATCTACAATAAAGAAAAAGAATCTACTGAATGAACAGATACAGATGTAGTAAGCACACTTACAGACACCAGGCAAACTACTGATACCATCAAGAAGAAGGAAGTAACTACAATCAATTGCCAACAAAGGATAGTGAAAACGTAATCAAATAAAATGAAACAACATTATGATATCAATATGTAGTGTAAATGTGATTACACACATATGAAAAACCATTTTGATGACTATCTACTACACTTATCTCTAAAGAAGAGACAGAGAAAAAATATAAAGCTAAATTTTAATAACATGATGGGCTATGTAAGAAATAACAATATATCTGCAATGGAAGTCTCTGAAATATAGAAGAAGGTAAATCAAAAAATCAAAAACTGATATGTCACATTGAAGGATTAGTAATTTTGGGCAAAGGATGTTTATTATATTTTAGTTGTATTCAGGTGTGCCTTGATGGATCATAACAGAATTTGGTTATAAAGAATCCCACCCTGTCTTATGCTAGAATACAGATGTGTCATGTCTTTTTCAATCTGGTTTCAACTGATTGGACCATGGTTAGTGTCAACATTAAAGGGAGTTTTCTATACACATAACATTGCCAGCCATCTATGAGGTGCTTGAGAATTCTGCTAGAAATGTTTTCTGTATTATGCCTTTACTAATAATTCAATCATGTCAGATCTTAGGGAATACTGAAGTACAGCACTTTTTTTTTTTTTTTTCTAAATGCAGTAGGCAGTGACCACTAAAAGTTAAATAGAGGATAGTCTATGATGAGATAAAGAGGATACATGATCCACTTGATAATGAAAAACAAAACAAAACAATAATAAAACACAGAGATCTTAGACATGAATAATGGACTGTTAGAATTGTTAATGACTCACTAAAAGCTGTAGGAAACCCTGCATTACATTTCACATTACCGTGATATTTTCCTCATGTAATTGTCTATGCAGTCTTGCTTCCTCATTTAACTTTACAGAAAACTCAATAAATAGGAAAAACTAAAAGAATTCTTCAAGAGAATCCCTTTATCACCCTACTCATAAGGGGTACCTACTGAATCAGCAGCTTTTGTGATAAAACTTGAGGCAAACAATTACTCCACACACTTGAACTCCTGAAATTACACTATTTTAATTTTTAAATTTTCATTTATTTATTTTATTTATTTGAAAGGCAGACAGACAGACATATTACTAGACAGTTATCTACCATCTACTATGGTTCACTACTCTAATGCCCTCAATATCTAAGGCTGGGCTAAGCTAGTGTAAATTCAATCTGGGTCACTCAAGTGGGAAGCAGGGACCCAAGTACTTGAGTTAATACCTGATGCCTCTCAAAGTCTTCAGTAGCAGGAAACTAGAATCAGGAGTGAAGCCAAGAACTGAACCCAAGTACTCCAAATGGAATTTGGGGGCCTAAGGGGGGATCTTAACCACTGCATCACTCAATTCATACACTTAGTAACAGAACTTAAAGTGTAGTGTGGATGAATTATTTTTAGGTTTGTTTTGTTGACACACAAATATCCTACATAACTGAGCTTTAGCCTGCATTAATATTGTAAATTTAACTGTTCAAAGCAAAAGAGGCAAGAAGACACTGAATTCTAAAATTTCCAATCCAGGGTGCTTAATCCCTATATTTCTCCAAGACAGTAATATAGATAATTAATTCTCTAGGTAATAAAAACAACACACAGAGGATTTATGTGTGTATGAAAGCCAAAATCCTCCAATGTCTGAAAAAATTGCTATTATAAGAAACCTTTATACAATATTAGAAAAAATTCGCTATTAGGTGTTCCATATTACAAACTAGATCCAAGATTATTTAAAGAATTTATATACATACAATTAAAACAGAATTTTATTATCTTGAAAATGCTCTCAGGCATTTATTAGTACTTCTCTATTAATGAAAAAAATAAAGAAAAAGGAAATTGATCACTTAGTACAGATCAAAATGGTAATTTTCTTTAATTCAGAGAAATTTTAAATCCCTTATACTTTCTTTATTTTTATTTTTTAGTTTGCTTACTTTCATGGTAGATTAGAGCTGAATGGGAAATACAGTGATGGGAACCTCAAGAGTAAATAATTATTGGTGTTTAATTTAGGAATACTTTATAATTTTTCTTGCCTGTGAATGTCTAAAATGTGGATTTGCAATTGTGCCACTGCACCTTGTCATCCCCTAGTTAGATATAGATGATATATATGAAATAGATATAGATATAGATATGGATATAGATATATATAGATATAGATATGTGTGTACTTATTGATATTTCATGTCTTTATAAAATGTAATTTTCACTGTTCTTTAATTGCAATATCCATGACACAAAGGACAAATTCATAAACCACTATTCTTATTATTTTTCTCTTAAAGAATTGCACAGTATTTCACAATTGACAAAGCAATTTCATTACCATTATAGTTAGATTTTAACCTTCTTAATAACCTTGAATTAGTAGCAAAACAAGAAACTGAGATTGATTTAAGTACTCACCCCCAAATCATTCTTATAGAAAGGTACATTCAAGACTTACAGTCAGGCCTCTGAATTCAAACATAGATCACATATTTTACAGGTTACTTTATATAGAGAATATATGAATCCTATCACAATGTCCTACGCTGCCAGCAGAAGTGTTACTTTGTCTCTAAACCTATGTTACTCTCTTCCTCACAGATTTTCTTAAGGTAGAATAAATTCCCTAACCAGTAATATAAGAGGGGGCAAACTTTAATTATTTTTCAGGCAACAGTCACAATTTCTTCTTTTAGGCTGCATTTTACTGGCCTCTCTGTGCTACTTCATTTTTTCCATTTCATTTTATGTATTGTATAAATGACAGACTGAAAACTTTGAGGACAGCTTGAGATCTAATTAATCATTTTGAAGTCTTTAACATCTCTCAGCAATTTTAATTCACATTAGTCAACACAGGAAAATTTCAAGAACTTTTAAGAAAAGAAATACATCAAATAATTCCAAAAATTACCTAAAGGTAATGGTAATTTATAGCACGAATGTACATTTTAATATATGTATTTACAATTTCACACATTTTTTTTTCTAAAAAGATATCAATAAAGTAAGAGATCTTACCTAGGCCATGTCTATGTGTTGACATTGGTGGTAAGACAGTCCAAGTCTTGGTTTTGGGATTGTAACATTCAACAGTGTTCAATGTCTTTAAGCCATCTCGACCTCCAATTACAAAGAGTTTGTCATCAATAACAGCCACGCCAAACTGCAGCCTTCTTCCATTCATCACTCCCGCCTGGATCCACAGATTTGTTCTGAGATCATATTTTTCTATTGTTGTAGCTCCTGATAAAACATAAAATCAGATTGTCACCAATTGCTACTAATCCAACATTCAACCAGCCCAAGGCATTGTACAAATTAGGATATGAAAACATTCATGTCACATTTATTTTTCTTAAAGAATAAAGTGTCAGGGAAACAAAAGGAGTAGTAATTCAACTATTTAATTTTCTTTTCTTAGAAGACACTGATGATCAAAATAGTCATAAATGCTCAGCTTATTTGAGTTACTTAAGGTTTTCAGCTAAACTATTGATTCCATAGAAACACTGTGGCATGATACATTTCTGTCAGTAGATTTTACAACTTTATTCTATCATTGCTTGCTATTACAAAATGCGGCTTAATCCCAGCCTGAAAAAAAAATGGATGAAAGTGCTTTTAAATGACTACATTATGTATATTACCTGTATAATTTCTAAAAATGAAGAGAGGATAATGGAATAAAATAATATTATGTTTCTCTTTAAATTTGTCATATTCTTTGAGTAAATGAAGACTTATAAGTCAATTGTGCATATAAGTGAACGCTATGCTTTTTAAATCAAGATTTTTGAAAATGATTTGAAAAATGGCTTAATAGAATTTGCATATATAAATTTTACCCATAGCAATCATGTTATAATCTCTAAAAATAACATATTTCTTAAAAGCTTTTTATTGATAACTGAGAAATACAATAACTCTAATAACAGAAAAAAGGTAATAAGCTAAATTGCTGGTGACACATTTTAAAATCGTCTTAATTTCCCATTTCACATTGAAAATTTATGCCTAGAATCAGTTCACAGATGTTTCTATGATATATTGTGAGCTAACAAACAGCGATTTTGCTACTGTGTTTGATCTTAATGTTCAGACTCACATTCACCAATGTTTCATCTTCAATGATTAAACATGCATACAAAGGAAATCTACACTCTTGTGTACTTTCCTTTAAGCATCATCTATTTTACTTGTATTGTAATAAAACTTTGCAAATCTAGGAGAAATATTCCTCTGGGGACTCGTTTTCTCTTCAGAATCTAGGCAGCAATTAACTAAACAATATAAACACCTTGTTAGCAGAGGCTTTGCTAATTGAAGTAAAGATGATATGGCTTATGCTCAACTTTTATTCAGAGATAGTAGCAGTGATAGCATATAATGAATTAAATCATTAAATGCACTTTCTAATGTTATTCAAGGTAATTAATAGCTAATTTATATAAAGCACACTTGAATTAGAAAGCTACAATTTTTTAGAATAAAATTACACTATTCAAAATTATTTGATATTTATTAGCATGCTATGTAACATTAAATAGACATGTTTATGTTTTAATATATTGATTACATTTTATGTGAATATTTTATTCAACCTTATACAAATCAAAATTCCAAAGCAATTATATTGTTGTATAATTCTAAGGTCATCTGAATTCTCAAAGCCTGATAGCACTGGCATTGTATGAATACCTAACTAAAAATTAAGAGTTGTATGCTGGCACTTATTTCTTGGGAGTAAGTTGAGAAATGATGGCATAAAGAGTGAAACCTATTCCTAACTAAGCCAATCTCATTAGATTCACATTTGGCAGGTATGAATAAATAAGAAAGTAAATATGAGAAAAACTGACTATGCATCTTTTAATGGTTTGCTGAATCCTTGCAGAGGTATTACTGTATTAAAATTATGATGCTGATAGGGCTAAGTCCCTTACAAGAGGTTCTAGGGGGAAATCGGTTTTCTTTTCTTTTCATCTTCTAGAGACCACTCTCATTCATAAGCATTCCTTCTTCAATTTAAATGAAATTCCCTGATATTGGTACTTGTCATTACATTAGGCTTACTCCAATTTAATCTTCCATAAAGTAGATTAACCTTAATTTCCCCATAAATGTGATATATAACCTAACATATTCACAAGTTCCAGGGATTAGGATTTGGACATTGGAAGTGGACAGCATTATTCTTCTTGCCCTTCAAACTGAGACATACCTTCACTCCCTCTTCCAATGAGCTTAGTCCTAAAAAATTCAGTATGTAAAACGAAGGCCTTTCATATTTGTAGAGCTTAGTTATACTAGCCTATGTCATTGATATTTTCATATTTACTCAGTGTGTATTACACATGCTTTGCTTTTTAGTATATTGAACATGGGTTTCCTCATTTCTAATCATAGTAATTAATAATAGTGTCCGTTATAAATTTCCACATTGATATATTTTATCAAATCCACCTAATTCTATTATTGTTAGATTATCATATCTGCTTACATGAGCTATTTTCTGAGTAAGAGGTAAAAGGATACAGTCATTGTGAGTAACTGTAGCTTTTGTTGTCCATTAAAGACCATACTTGTCATTGAATAGATTAAAAACAAAGCATGAGTAAAAAAATGGATTACTGAGGTGGTAAATAAGAAATGTGCAAGAGAGTCAAAAGAGGAGTTTTTTTTTTTTTTTTTAAGATTTATTTATTTGAAAGGTACAGAGGCAGAGGCAGAGAGAGAGAGAGAGAGATATCTTCCATCTGCTGGTTCACTCCTCAAATGGCCACAATGGCCAGGATTGAGCCAGGCAGAAGCCAGGAGCCAGGAGCTTCTTCTGGGTCTCTCACATGGGTGCAGGGGTACAAGTATTGGGCTATTTTCCACTGCTTGGATTGGAAGTGGTACAGCCAGGATTTGAACCTGTGCCCATGTGGGATGCTCACGCTGCAGAGGCCCAGAGTTTCTTTTAAGACAGACTTGGTTTTTTGTAACTCTATTAGTGAAATCACAATTGATTATCTATATGCTTAGAAAGTTAAAGCAGGATGTTAAAATGTGTGACTTCAGGCAATATGCAGTTCTGGAAACTTCCATGGCTGGAGAGTACTCATTAAGTCTAAAGGGAACAGTTGCTGCTTTACTATTGTCATTCAGAATTTTTGGCTCAGTGTTGCCAGGTTTCCTGATGTGTTGAAACAAGATAGAAATCTAAATTTTTTTTTTTAAAGATTTTATCTATATATTTGAGAGGTAGAGTTTCAGACAGTGAGAGGGAGAGACAGAGAGAAAGATCATTCAAAGGCTGGTTCACTCCCCAAATGGCTGCAATCACCGGAGCTGAGCCGATCCGAAGTCAGGAGCCAGGAGCCAGGAGCCAGGAGTTTTTTCCGGGTCTCCCATGTGAGTGCAGGGGCCCAAGCACTTCAGCAGTCTTCTACTGCTTTCCCAGGCCATAGAAGAGAGCTGGATTGGAAGAGGAGCAGCAGGGACTAGAACCAGTGATCATATGTGATTCCAGCGCTACAGGCAGAGGATTAACCTACTGAGCCACAGTGTTGGCCCCCTAGATTGTTGGATTACTCAGCAATGAATGTATGCAAGTAATTAATATAACACTTAGGACATTAAGACAGTATATGCTGAGCCTAGAGGACTATTATTAGAAGTGGTTAGAGAGGCTGATGCTGTGGCCTGTAGTGACGGTATCCTATATGGGCACTAGTTCAAGTCCCGGCTGCTCCATTTCCAATCCAGCTCTCTGCAATGGCATAGGAAAGCAGTAGAAGATGGCCCATGTTCTTGGGCCCCTGCACCCACGTGGGGGACCCAGAAGAAGCTCCTGGACCCTGGCTTCGGATTGGCCCAACTCTGGCCATTGTGGCCATTTAGGTAGTGAACCAGCAGATGTAAGACCCCTTTCTCTCTGCCTCTGCCTCTAACTAACCTTTCAAATAAATAAATATATATATATATATTTTTTTAAGGAGTGGTTAGATCCATGTTGTTTCACATCTTACCTTAAACCACTGCTGTTATAGCTCTAAAGAGCTAACATTTGTCCTTCTGTGAGCTAATGTTCTGTGCATATTATTTTTAAATGTATAGCATGATTGTTAAAAAAAAATACAAGAACAAATTTGTAAAGATTTGCTAACTTAATGTAATTTTGTAACTCAAAGATGAATCTTATTCTTGGCACGTAGAAAATGTGAAATATAATTAGATGGGGAGGGCGATGTAGACCATCAGGTTAAATACAAATTGAAATGCTCGCATTTTGTATTGGAATGCCTGGGATCAAGTTCCACTTCCACTTCAGATCCAGTTTACTGCTAATGCACCTGGGAGGCAGTGGATGATGACCAAAGTACTTCTTTTGCTGCCACTTGTGGGAAACCCAGATGGAATTCTTGGCTCCCAACTGCAGCCTAGGCCAGCTCAGGCTATAGTGGGCATTTAGGGAATTGCTCAATGGATGGACAATCTGTCTTTCTGTCTCTCCTTCTTTTTGTCACTCTGCATTTCAAATAAATAAATAAATATTTAAAAAATATAATATAGTTCAATATTCTGAGGACTATATTTACAATTTTAAATTATGAATATTTACATGCATTTTATATACTTCACAATTTATGTATCTCAGATATTTTATGCTATGACTAAGTGTCTAGCATTTGGAGTAATATGAAATTTTGATTTTGTGTTATCTAAAATGCCTAGCAGTTGTAGTGATACAAATTTTGATGTGTACTTTGAAATCATGCCTTACATGATCATGATCTGTAAAAAGTAGTTCTAATGCCTAGAAAAATCATCACATGTGTGTTATTCCTTACTATTTGACACATAATGTATGTATATATATATATGTATATATACATATATATGCTTATTTATTTATTTGAATGCTAGAGTTACAGAGATAGAAAGATGCAGAGATACTGGTCTTTATCCACTCATTCATTCCCCAGATGGCTGCAAAAGCTAGGATTTGGCTAAGTCAAAGCCAGAAGCCAGAAGCTTCATCTAAGTCTCCCATGTTGATGGCAGGGGCTCAAACACTTGGGCCATCTTGTCCTGGTTTCCCAGGCCATTACCAGAGAGCTGGATCAGAAGTGGAGCAGCCAGGAAACAAACTGACTCCCACATGAGATGCCAGCCTCACAGGCAGTGGCTTTACCAGCTATACCATGATGCCAGCCCTGACACATTATGTATATCTTTTATTGAAATATGTTAGGTAA